GATCCTCCTCCCAATCAATAGGCTCATCTAACATCTCAAGTTCTAACTCTTCTTCCAAGTTCTCTTCTGGCTCTTCTTCTAGGTCCTTCTCTGGATCCTCTTCCCAGTCACTAGGCTCATCTAACATCTCAAGTTCTTCCTCTAATTCCAAGTTCTCTTCTGGCTCTTCCTTTGGGTCCTCCTCTGGATCCTCCTTTGGATCCTCTTCCCAGTCAATAGGCTCATCTAACATCTCAGGTTCTTCCTCAAACCATCCATTTTGATTTTTGTCCATCTACAAAAATCAAAATTTTACTTAGTAACTAAAAATGCTCACTATAACCACTAACAAGTTATTTAACAAGCAAGCTTAGGGTTTCCCAAGGTCTCAAGGGTTTCTCAACCTAAGCTCTGATACCATGCTGTGACACCCCAAATTTAAGGACATCATAATAAGATTTAGAAACTTAAAATCAATAATGCCACCAAGATTACTAACATTCATTAATTAACAACCCAGAATTTAAAGTTCTTACATCACAACTTAGTCTTAGTACGTAACCGAAATGACACAAATATAAAAAGAAAACTAGAGAAAAACTAGAATTTTTAGGAACTTGGGCACTCTTCAAGCTAACCAAGGCTGAGTGTCGCCTTGCAAGGCCTCGGTGTCTCCTTCGGTTTCTTCTGTACCTGGCATAAAACGCCAGGGCAACGGGAATGCCAGTGAGCGACGAGCTCAATAAGATATTACAACCCGAAAATACCCACCCCGATAATAATACTCACAATTTATGAATAATGTGTAGTAACAGAATAACCAGTAACATTTAGTAAGTATAAAATAAATGTTATCAGTTGAAATAATAACAATAAATAATAATAAATCAAATAAAAATATAACAAACGGAAACAGTATTTCATCATAAGGAATATGTCCACATTTTTTTTTTAATTTTCATATATTTAGTTTATCAGATAAATTTAAGTAACTCCTCGCGGAGCATTATTTCCACTCAACCGCTAAACAATGGCCACGGGCAATTCTGACTCCCCTTTGGTCAAATATTCATACGTTACTTACAGTAACTACCAATGATGCTCACGCACCAGGGTTACATACCCGAGTCGTGACATCACGATCTGCCCCAAGGGAACGGTCTATGTTGTGACGCATGCACCACCAACCTTATATTGCCTACACCAATAAGAGCCGAAATACCTTCCTGTGCCATGCTAGGGTTCGCAACTCACTTGCGCAAGATTCCAGACCGGGCTCACCCCATCACTTTTACATTTTAATGTATCATTGGTTAAATTTCGTGTCATTTTGCTCATTGAAATATTCACAATAATTCAAAATTTAATTACCAATAATGTTATACCAACTCATTAAAGTCCGAACATAAAATATTACACATGTCACACAAAAATAAACAATTGTACAAATTTTAAATAAACAATTTATTTAAACCATAATTTAGATACCAAAAAAAAAGAAATAAATCATAATTACACACATGCATGGACTTTTAGTCTATAAGATTAAACTAGCACAATATTAAATAAACAACAATACACCCATACATGGATGACTAATTTACAATATTTGATGAATTAGACCAACACAATAACTGATTTTTTATCCAAATAAATAATTGAAGTGATGATCTTAAATCTGTCCAGAAATTTTCAGGTTATACCTTAGGTAATAAAAATTGTAAATAAATTATTTATACAATTCTAAAATTCGTGAAAATGTACAAAATATTCAATAAATATGTTTAGGTCATTTTTCAGAAAGAATTTCCCAAAAATAAGTTATAAATAAACAATTGAAGAGATAGTTTTTGATTCCTCCTTAATCTGTCAAAATTTTCAGAATGTATATCTTGCAAATACAATTATAAATAAATTACTTATACAACTCTAAAATTCATATAAATCTACAGAATACTTAATAAACATGTTATGGTCATTTTTCAGAAAGCATTTTCCAAAAATAAATTATAAATAATTCCTAAAAATTTCAAGAGTGTTTATGACAAAGATTTATCACATTTTCTTAAATTAATTCCATACTTAAATTTATAAATAAATTCCTTGATCTACAAATTTATTATGAAACTAGACTTCTCAAATTTCATTTTTTACTTAGAAATTATCAGATTTGGTTTAATATAAAAAACGTTCCTCTGTAAGATCACCATCTTACCTTTTTTTTTTTCTTTTTTAGATATTTCTTATCAACCATTCTTAATAAAAATAATAACCAAATAGATAAACTATCAATTTCTAAAGTAACAATAATTAACAACGATATTAATATTTGGACAACAAGCATACATACTTTTCTAAATAACAGTGAGCAAATAATAAAAAAGAATCATTTAGAATCTTTTTTTTAAAGCCTAAAATATTTTAAAAAGTATAACTGACCTCATAGATGTAATATTCAATTTAATAAAATAGTAATAGATAATTCATAGTGTAACTTTAATCTTAAACATCTTTAGAAGATATATTATGATTTTTTAAAAGGAAAAAAAAATCAAAAGAAAGGTTAAAAATATGTTGGGTCTAATTGAATCTAATTGGATCCTATTAAAAACTCCATGATCACTAAAATAACAACAAATCATGTATATATATGTTGGTTATTTTGGTATTAAACGCCATTAGAAGCTGTATTATGTCATTTTCACTAAAAAGATGGAGAAAAAAAGAGTCGAAAATATGTCGGATACAATAATTTCAAAAATTGCATGAATCGTAAAAAGTGAATCGAATCGTGAATCGATTGTGAATCGTACGATTCACTAAAGATTCACCTCCAAAATAGATTCGCCTATAGATTCGTATCGATTTTGCAAAAATTACGAATCGAATCGTGAATCGTATGATTCTGATAACAGAGGTGTTCATGTTCATGTTCATGTTCATGTTCATGTTCATGTTCATGTTCATGTTCATGTTCATGTTCATGTTCATGTTCATGTTCATGTTCATGTTCATGTTCATGTTCATGTTCATGTTCATGTTCATGTTCATGTTCATGTTCATGTTCATGTTCATGTTCATGTTCATGTTCATGTTCATGTTCATGTTCATGTTCATGTTCATGTTCATGTTCATGTTCATGTTCATGTTCATGTTCATGTTCATGTTCATGTTCATGTTCATGTTCATGTTCATGTTCATGTTCATGTTCATGTTCATGTTCATGTTCATGTTCATGTTCATGTTCATGTTCATGTTCATGTTCATGTTCATGTTCATGTTCATGTTCATGTTCATGTTCATGTTCATGTTCATGTTCATGTTCATGTTCATGTTCATGTTCATGTTCATGTTCATGTTCATGTTCATGTTCATGTTCATGTTCATGTTCATGTTCATGTTCATGTTCATGTTCATGTTCATGTTCATGTTCATGTTCATGTTCATGTTCATGTTCATGTTCATGTTCATGTTCATGTTCATGTTCATGTTCATGTTCATGTTCATGTTCATGTTCATGTTCATGTTCATGTTCATGTTCATGTTCATGTTCATGTTCATGTTCATGTTCATGTTCATGTTCATGTTCATGTTCATGTTCATGTTCATGTTCATGTTCATGTTCATGTTCATGTTCATGTTCATGTTCATGTTCATGTTCATGTTCATGTTCATGTTCATGTTCATGTTCATGTTCATGTTCATGTTCATGTTCATGTTCATGTTCATGTTCATGTTCATGTTCATGTTCATGTTCATGTTCATGTTCATGTTCATGTTCATGAAGTGAAACAATTGGGGACGATGATGATGATGTTGTTGATGGTGTTGTTGAAACAGATTTGGGCTGAGGAATTTTTGAGGTCAGGGAAACCCGATTCTCGTTAGGGGCGGGAACGGGGACGGTGATAAGAACCCCGTCGGGGATCGGGGCGAGGGACGGAGACATTTTCACAATCGGGGATCGAGAACGGGGAGTGTGATCCCCGGCTCTGTCCCAGCCTTAGTTGCAGGAATCGTGCAAGGTGGTGACGAATCTTCACAAGAAACGCGATTCCGCGTTTCTTAGAAAGAAACGTGTAGGAATCGCGTTTCTGTAGAGAGAGAAACGCGTTCCTGTCCAAAATAGGATCGTTGGTGGAAATAAAACAACTCAGAAGGAATAAATTAAACTCAAAATATGGATCTGAAGCAGATTTTGGGTAATGGATGTTAAGCACAAATACAAAAAGAAAAGCAAAAATACAGAATGAGAAACTTACAGTAGAGAAGGAAACGATCGCGATCTCTGTCTCTCGGTCTCTGTCTCTTGATCTTCGCCTCTTTCTCTCTCTCTCTTTCTCTCGTTTTCTCTCTCTTCTCTCTCTTTTATTTATGACATATATATATATATATATATAATATGGGTTTTGATTTCATAAAATGGGCTTTGAAATGGATTTAATTTGGGAAATGAGTGTTGATTTCTTATGATTTACCAAAATCAAATCACAAATTTCAGAGAAAACAGAGTGAAAAAAAATAAGAGCAAGAATGAACGAGAAAAAAGGGACAAGACTCATCGCTGCCTTCGCTCCACGACTGCCCACCACCATTGAAGAGGAAGATCAAACAAAGGAAACAACCAGAGGTTTGTTATTTGAGCTCTGAGAGGAGATGGTATTTGTTGACAGATGAGAGGAGATGAGAGAAGGAAATAAGAAAGAGAGACGTTAGAGAGAGAGAGAGAGAGAATGAGTGGGGAAGATGGAGAGATAGAGACAGAGTCAGCAAGTGGGTGGAATAGGCAGAATGAGAATGGGGGTAGATGGAGAGAGAATGAGTGGGAGACAAGAGAGGAAGAGAGTCAGTGGAAAAATAGAGAGAAAGGGGGAGAGGAAGATTAAAATAATTATATTTAGTGGGAGAGAGATTGAATAATTATGTTTAATTTAAAAAAATAATTATAGAGTGTTTGAGTTGGTTTGTATTTCAAAATATAATTTTTAAGAAATTTTTTAAAAATTTTGTTTGGTTTAAATTCTTTGATTTTTTTTTTAAAATTACTCTCTCTCTTATACATATCAATTAATTACTTTTTCTTTCACATACATTTACACACATGTACTTAATTATAACAAAATATCAAATTATTACAAACTCTCAAATTCCAAAACTATTTTCAAAATATACAACCAAACAAACTAAAAAAAAATTTAAATTCTCTCCCTAAAACTTTTTTTAAAAATTTATCTCAAAACACAAACCAAACACACCATTTTTTTTTCAACATATATATATATATATATATATATTTTTATTTATATTAAAAACACGAATAGTCTCTAATTATTGAAGTATTTTATATCAAATCAAGTTTTTAACTAATTTTTTACTCAAATTTAAATGAAAAGAAAAGATGAAGATTACTATTCATTATAAAATAAAACTCTCAAAATATAATTTATATTTACAAAAATAATTGTAGTATTTTTTTTATATGATTTATATAAAAATAATGTTTTAATTATAATTATAGCACTATTTTGTTATACTACATTAAAATTTCATCACATATGACAAAAAAAAAAAAAAATTAAATGAAATCCTTATCTCAAGTTAAATTATTTTTATCATTCGTACATAAAGTATCATATAAACGTTAAAGTTGCAAGGTCAAATGATTATTCCTGTCCACCAGTGAATTATATGACATTTAGTCTCATATCACTTTTATATTTGGTTAGCCAAACAGTCCAGCATCTTGAATTTATTATCATATTCCAATTTTGTACAAAAAATATATTTTTTATTCCAAACATAGAACAAAATGAAAATAAAAATAAAATAAATAATATTGTTACACAACCTTCATAAATACAATGACAATAATCACTTTGTTTGATTTCCATTTTCAAAATTCACTTTTCAAAAATTCTGATCTTTTGTTTTTTTATATATTTTTTATTTTTACTGATCTTTTTTAATATTTTAAGTATTTTTTTTTAATTTTTAGATATATTTAACATAAATACACTTAAATTTTATTTGGTTCAAATTTTTTGAATTTTTTTCCCAAATCACTAGATAACCAAACAATTGCACCTAAGCAATCCAAATTTAGTGGATATTTGGGAGTAATTTTTTATATGCAAATGAATTTTTTTTTAAGATTTTTCAAAAAATCAACACTATATATTTTTTATTTTTACCGAATTTTTTTAATATTTTAAGTAATTTTTTTTTATTTTTAGATATATTTAACATAAATACACTTAAATTTTATTTGGTTCAAATTTTTTGAATTTTTTTTTCCAAATCACTAGATAACCAAACAATTGCACCTAAGCAATCCAAATTTAGTGGATATTTGGGAGTAATTTTTTATATGCAAATGAATTTTTTTTTAAGATTTTTCAAAAAATCAACACTCTTATATTCTTCTCGACTAGACAAATTAAAATATATATACATCTATACATTTGAAAAAGGTCCAAAAAAGACAAATAAAAAATGGCAAATTACACTAATAGTCTCTATAGTTTGGGACTTGTGTCATTTTGGTCCCTAACTTTTTAATTGTGACACATTTGACCCTGAACTTTGAATCTTGTTCCAAATAAGGACAATTGAAGATATCATTGCTTAATTTCAAGAGCAAAATCGTTAATTTGATAAAATATAAACTAATTTGACAAAAATAAAATTTAAAAAAATATATTTTTGAATTTTTTAAAATTATTTCTACACATTAAAGATAAAATTATGTAAAATTAATAAATCTCTTAGACATTTATTTTTTAAAAAGTCAAATATGACAACTTTGATATCATTATTAAATCCAAAACTAAAAATATTTCATATATTAAATATGTCGATTACACATTGAAATCCTAACAAGCACTCATTACATGATCATTATCCAACCACATAATAAAAATTAATTTGGTAAAATAAACAAATAAATAAATGTGTAAAAAATTTATCAATGTTACATAATTTTATTTTGGTTGGTAGAAATAATTTTTAAAAATTTAAAAATATTTTTTGGCATTTATTTTTGTCAAATTAGTTTTATATTTTATCAAATTGACAATTTTACCCTCAAAATTAAGCAATGGTATCTTCAATTGTCCTTATTTGGAACAAGATTCAAAATTCAATGTCAAACATGTCATAATTGAAAAGTCATAGACCAAAGTGATACGAGTCCCAAACTATAGAAACTAATAATGTAATTCGCCCAATAAAAAATCAAAACCGCTGTCTTACCACCACCAACACCACTACTTTACCACCACCAACACTATCATTACCACCACAACCACAATCCTTCCATCTCAACCACCACTATTCTACCTCCACTACACCACCCTTGCACCAAGAACACTATTGTTACCACTACAACCGCTATCCCTCCGCCTCCGCCTCCACTACCACCATTCTACCTCCACTACACCACCTTTCCACCAACAACACTATTATTACCACTACAACTGTTATCCCTCTGCCTCCACCTCCACTACACCACCTTTCCACCAACAACACTATTGTTACCACTACAACCGCTATCCCTTCACCTCCACCTCCACTACCACCACTCTACCTCCACTACACCACCTTTCCACCAACAACACTAACGATGCCATTACAACTGCTATCCCTCCGCCTCTACCCCCACCACTACCACTTTACCTCCACTACACCACCTTTTCCCCAACAACACTATCATTACCACTACAACCGCTATCCCTCCACCTCCACCTCCACCCCCACCACCATCACTCTACCTCTACACCACCCTTCCACCATCAACATTATCATTACCACAACCGTTATCCCACCACCACTACTGCCACTTTACTTCCACTACCACCAGTGACCACCAACAGCACCATCATTATCACCATAATTGCTATCCTTTCATCTTTACTACCACCACTGCGGCCTTTACTATGAACACATCTCTACAACAATATAAAAATAAAAAAAATTAAAAGACTAATATTGTTGAAATTATTAAAAATAATTAGTGTGTTTAGTTTCAGTTTTCTGAATTCAATTTTCTAAAAATGCCTCTACCCCCACCACTACCACTTTACCTCCACTACACCTTTCCCCCAACAACACTATCATTACCATTACAACCGCTATCCCTCCACCTCCACCTCCACCCCCACCACCATCACTCTACCTCTACACCACCCTTCCACCATCAACACTATCATTACCACAACCGCTATCCCACCACCACTACTGCCACTTTACTTCCACTACCACCAGTGACCACCAATAGCACCATCATTATCACCATAATTGCTATCCTTTCATCTTTACTACCACCACTGTGGCCTTTACTATGAACACATCTCTACAACAATATAAAAATAAAAAAAATTAAAAGACTAATATTGTTGAAATTATTAAAAATAATTAGTGTGTTTAGTTTCAGTTTTCTGAATTTAATTTTCTAAAAATTTGGGTCTTTTTTTTTAGTGAATATTTTTAAATTTTAACTATTTTTTTTACTTTTTTAGATACACCTTACTTAGATGTATCTAAATAATAAAATATTTATAAAAAAATATTTTAAAAAATTAATAAATACACAAAAAATATTTTTATTTTTTATTTTTTGGTATTTAGTGTAATTTTTTTAAACCAAACTAATATTTTTTTGGACTAATGATTACCAAACTGATAAAATAAAATAATTTCTTCTCCAAGACTGTTGATCTTCTTCTACTCAATATATCCACCATACCCGAGATGACAAGCATGCACTATCATTTAATGCATGACAAGCTATGAGTTGCACAGAGAAGACCTTTCGTATTTTTTTTATTATTATTTTGGTAGATGCGTATTTTTTTATTCTCAATAATCAATAGGTGTGTATTTTTTTATTATTATTTTAGTTGATGGTGTATTTTTTTATTCTCAATAATCAATAGGTGTGTATTTTTTTATTATTATTTTGCTTGATGGTGTATTTTTTTATTCTCAATAATCAATTGGTGTATCTCAAGAAAAATCTTTCTGATCCTTACTCCTCCCGCCAACTCGTACTCCCGCCAACTCTATATAACCATCAACATCCATCTCATTCTTCAAAGTGGAGTTAAGTTCTGTATATGGCAAATATATAACCAAAGCTTTAACCAAAGCTTCTGAAGAGTTAAAGTTCTGTATATGGCAAATATATAACCAGAGCTTCTGAAGAGTTCAAGCAAGCTGATTTTGGCTTATAAGGCAAGCACCGTTTAATGTACATTCATAATTTTCTCTATTGGTTTCCATTTCTATTTATTTTCTGTTAGTTATTTTTTCTAATCTGTTGTATACTTGAATGATTTCACACTACAGATTTTGAATGGATTTAAGCCAAAGCATTAACTCTCAAGAAGTTATGGAAGATGAGGATGTTGAAGAGCCAACTGCTACTCCACTTTGGAAATATGTCACAAAAATTTCTGATGAATCGCCCAATTCCAAAGGTGGAGGTGGCTCTGCAAAATTCATATGCAATTTTGGTTGCAAATTGGAGGCTTATACTGGTTCTTATTCCCGAGTCCGTGCACACTTGATAGGCAAATTACCAGGCCAACGAGCTCAAGGTATACAACTATGTCCAAAGGTTAACAAGACTGAGAGGGAGTTGCTAAAACAAGAGGAGCTAGATGCACAACAAATGTTTCTGGGAAATGCCAAGGCCAGAAAATTTCCTAGGTCCACTTCAACATCACAGGTACAATCTCAAACTGTTAGGTCCTCTGATGTGCCACACTCAGTCAAAGTTTCAATTGACAACATGTTTCATATAAGAAATAGAGAAGAAGTGGACCAAACAATTGCTAGGTGTCTTTATAGCAATGGCATTGCTTTTAATGTTGTGAGGTCTCCACGGTGGACAGATATGGTTACTGCTATTAATAATACTCCGAAAGGGTACAAGTCTCCTAATTATGAGAAAGTGAGGACCAGCTTGTTGGACAAACAACAAAGCAAGGTTCAACAATCCCTTAACCCTTTAATGCAAGATTGGAGCATACATGGAGTTTCCATTGTTTTTGATGGTTGGTCAAACTTAAAGAATCAAACTTGGATTAACATGATGGCTGTTTTTGGTGGTAAGGCCATTTTTATTAATGGACATGATGTTTCTTCAAAGGAGAAAAATGCAACAAATATTGCTGATTTGTTGATTAAAGCAATTGAATTTGTTGGACCCTCCAATGTGGTCTAAGTAGTTACTGACAATGCCCCTAATTGCAAGGCAGCTGGAGCAATAATTCAGCGCAAGTATTCCCATATATTTTGGTCAGGTTGCTTAGCTCATACTTTGAATCTCTTGATGAAAGACATAGCCAAATGTGAGGATCCAGCTTTGTTATTTGTTGATGAATCATATAAGAGGGGTAAAGAAGTGGTTAAATACATAAAAAACCATAGCTCTTGTCAATACTTGTTCAAAACATTTTCTGGTCTGGATCTTCTCAAAGCAAAGAAGACTAGGTTTGGGCATCATTTCATTGTTTTACAACGTCTTGTTAAAGTCAGACCTGCTTTGCTGTCCATGGCTCTAAGCAAACAATGGGAAAATTTGCGAAAAAATACATCATCTCCTCATCAGCATGACATTGTCCACCAAACCATTATGGATGATGATTTTTGGAGAAAAGCAAAAACAGTCCTCACCATCACAAAACACATTTATAAGATGCTTAGATTTTCAGATTCTGATAAGGCTGTGATTGGAGAGGTTTATGAGTTGATGGATACTATGTTAGGGAACATTAAGGATACTCTTTCAAATGATCCTATTGTTTATGATTTGATACATCAATTTGTGGTGGAAAGATGGAATAAGATGAACATTCCTTTGCATTGTCTAGCCTATATTCTTGTTCCTAAGTACTACACAAATTCTTGGTTGTCAAAATCTGCCCCAGGTGGTGTGAGAAGAAAAAAACCTCATTTTGATGTTGAGGTGCAGAAGGGGTATCTTGAGGCAATTGAAAAAATGATTTGTGATCAAACTGAAGCTGCTGTTATAAGAAAACAAATTAGTGATTTTGTTAGTTGCAAAGGAGTTTTTTCACAACCTCAAGCAGTAAATGATAGAGCAACCATGGATGCACTATCATGGTGGAATTTGTATGGTGGGGCCGCACCTGAATTATATTCTTTAGCATTGAAAGTGTTGTCTCAAAGTGTAAATACTTCTTGTGCAGAAAGGTGTTGGAGTACCTATTCCTACATTCATAATGTGAAAAGGAATAGGTTAAATGTTGATCGAGCTGAAAAGTTGGTTTTTGTGCACTATAATCATAGACTCTTGTCAAGGTATAGGGAGGATTATGAAAATTTTAAAAATTGGGATGCACATCCAGAAGATGCCAACATTGAAGAGGACATTATGGCAATAGAAGAAAGAGATAATGTATCACTTTCAGACAGTGAAGATGATACTACTCTTGCAGCTTCAGTTGTTCAACCATGTCCAACTCCAACACCATTGCCTACATCTTCATCATTGCCACTTCCTACTTCTCAAGAGCATTCAATGGAACAAGTAGCAGCACAAAGGAGACTTGAGAAAGCACGTGGCAAAAGACAGAAGAAGTGAAAAAAAAGGCAAAAGAAGTGAAATATTTTGTTATGTGGAATTGTAATATTTTATTTTTTACCTTAGTTTTTTACTTTCTTTTTGGTTGCTTACTTTTTGGAAATTATAAGAATTAGAGATCTCTTTTAGTTGTCAAGTCTTTTTGTTATTAGATGATTAAGAATTAATGATATTTTGTATTAGTGATGAATTTTCTAATGGGATTCTATTATATTTTTGTGTAGCAATGCAAGTGATCAAATTTAATATATTTAAATAAAGCCACTCCAAAAAATAAATGCATAATATAGTGCACAATTGGACCAAGGATATAGTGCACAGAATTAATGATGAGAATTAAAGATCTCTTTACAGATCTCTTTTAGTTGTCAAGCCACTCCAAAAAATAAATACATAATATAGTGCACAATGTAAGCCACTCCATAATATAGTGCACAGAATTAATGATATTTAATATAAATGAATTTTTGAATTAATTTTTATTTATATATACATATAATATATATATATATATATATATAAACGCTCCCCGAGGCGCTCCCAACCTAAGAACCTTCTATCAGCTCACGCTCCCCCGCTCCCGCTCCCGCTCCCTCTCCCGCCTCCGCCCCCGTTTCGTGCAACTAAGGGATATTCAGTTGCGGCGATAGGTGCAAGATTGGGAGGTGGCTCAATTGGTGGAATTGTGAGGACAGAACCAACTAGGGTGGGTGGTGGGAGATTTCTAAAGAATGTGACTGGAAATAGGTCATAATTATCTTATAAGTCTAGCTTATATTCAAGTGTATTAGAAATATAATTAGTTTTTCTTTTATCTTTCTTTTTTAAAATATATTTTATATCAACTAATTATGTGTTTCATTGTTATAGGATGAAAACACAATCACCTGGTAAGATGGATCCACTAGATAACTTCTTGAAAATAAGGGGGCACTTTGAAGTTTGATACATGTTGAACTTTCAAAGTGGCAGAATTCATACTCAATTTAGAACTAACAAGCTTAACTCAAAACCATCAACCACACCAATTTTATTCGTTTGAAACTTATTTAAATCCATGTTAATTTCATAAATAGATTAAAAGTATTGTATTTTATTTATTGCACTCATTTTCATACACAATAAACAATACTTTCAAGTTTCTTAACATGTGTCCTAAGGACACACATTAATAAAATTCATATTATATTTAATATATATTCTATAGTTGTACACTTGCACTTTGATATTATATTATATATATATATATATATATATATTGTTATTTTTTTAATTTTAAGAACTATATATATGATTTTATGTATATAAATATAAATGTATATATTTTATTAAAAATATAAAATGAAGTGAGTCTTACAATTCACAATTCATTTTATTGAGAAATCAATTCAGGATTCAATTCACGATTTGACACTTGAAAATAAGATTTATTAATTTATTTTTGAATGGACAACATTGCTCTAATTCCCCTCAATAATTGTTAGAGGCAGAATAGGACAGAACCAACTTGAGAGGGTGGTGGGGGATTTCTAAGGAATGTAGCTTAGAAATAAGTCACAATTATCTTATAAGTCTAGCCTATACATGCGAAACAGGATAATTCCTAAATCAAGCCATCCCTCTCACCGTGATAGCCTCAAGCTATCTCTTGACAGCACCAACATGATAGCCTCATTTGGAATGCTACTGCAAATATCTCTCCGTGAATGTACAACACAACCAGGCTATCATTCGTCAACTAATTACCATTTTCGTCGTGAAGACTGTCCTTCACAATCTTCTTAGCAGAAAATGGCCCATCTATTGTAGCAGTCGCAACAGGTAAAATCCTTTGATCTCAGTATGATGATTTACTTCTTCACAGCCTGTGGTTTTGAGATTATTGTGAATAAGATATTCCTTCAATCTAAATCAAGCTAAACCTTACCTCCTACCCAAGCTTGCTAATTATTGCCACCAGAGTTAATTAACAAATTCAGGCATAAGAAGCTGTTCCACATGACCAGGTGATATGAAATTTGCATGAACTCAACATAAAAATCTAATATGCTCCTATTCATGACGACAGTTGCACAAACAAAAATTTTTGCAAGAAAAAAACAATTGGAGTAAAAAAAAACAAAAATGTGTACCTTCCAAGGCCAAAGAGTGGTAAATGAAGTTTCAGCCATAGAGAAAAATGCAGAGAGACCCAGAAGAGCAGCCAAAACCAAACCTTGCTCTTTGAAAACCTGAAGAACCTGCAAAAGTTTCGGCCAATAACTCTTCAATAACCATATGCTCTGTCCTACAACCCCATAACCCGAATCCACAATCCCTTCCACCGCAAAAAACTCTTCGGCAACCAAACACTAAAACCCCAATAACAGTAGCAGCCAACACAATAATTCCCCGCTTCACAAAAAAACCCTAATTTCAAACTCCTATGAAAGTGGATAATTGTACTTTTTTTTTATTTTATAAATAATAGGTTGTCAATAATTGTACTTTTTTATAAAAACAGATTACGGATAAAGTAATAGGTTGTCAATAATTTTTTCGTAATTTAGTAGTTACAAAAGGTTTTTTTACATATATAATTATTAAAATTTATTTTTATATATTAAGATACAAAAAAATTATTATTATAAAGATTTAAAAAATATAAAATAAGGTTTTGTTGTTTTATAGTTTAACAATAATCAATATAAATAATATAATTAATTGATATCTGATAACAAAATGAATATGTTATTGTAATATGATATCTGATAATACAATTATAATTCACTAATTATTTAATAACAAAACCCAAATTATTGGAAAAAATTTGAGAGAAAAAACTAAGGCAAAATTATTCAATTAAATTGTGATAAAGAGAGGGAAAAAAGTTAGGGCAAACAAAATTAAGGAAAAAAAATTAGGGTAAAATATTCAATTAAAATATGATAAAGAGAAAGGGCAAAACAATTGAGATAAAGTTATTTATTTTATTAAAATCTTGACATTAGACTTTATTTGGACTCATTATATATTTGTTTAGACTAATTATATAAATTTTTAATTGGGCTAACAATAATTATAAATATTTTTTTTAATTTGGCTCAATAGCTTTTCTTGAGGGGTCTTTTAGATTGGGCCTCAAATAATAAAAAATGACTGAGCTTTGAACTTTTAAAATAATATAAAACTAATAAATTTGAAGTCTTATTTTGACCCAAAATTTAAGAGCCCTAGGCACAAGTCTTAGTGGCGTTAACTTAGGGCAGCATTGGTATTCATCATCATCATCATCATCATCATGCTCTCAAACCAGTTCAAATTGTGGGAACAAGTTTTCGAAAAAAGTGGGAGAATGCGAAACGACACAAATTATAGAGCACCTCCATTCTTTGGGTTTTTTTTTGGAAAGACGATTTTTGTTACATTAATGATTTATTCACTTAATTTATTCAGAGCCTCCCATGAATTTTCAAAATAGGAAACTGTGATCGGGAAGAGTCTCATTCGGATAAATTCAAGCTAAACAAATTCGATAGATGTAGTGGTGCTATTTTTTTTTAATAATGTTTTAATTTTTTTAGACATATGAGAAGAAAGAAAGTGAAGTGGTTGGGAATTATTTTAATACTTAAAAAAAATTGCAAAAAAAAAAATAGTGAGAATAAAAGGATATATTAGACTGTCTTTATGATTTTTTGACTTTTTTTTTTCTTTCTTTTTCTTTTTTTTTTTGGTAGCCTTTCTTGACTACTAAGATAAATTAGCTTATTGCCAAATAACCCCGTAACTTTTTTCTCTCTTTTTTCCAACTTTATTTTTTATATATCAAATTTAATGGAGAAATATATATTTTTTTTCATCAAATTTTAAATGATAAGGGTATTGGAAATATTTTTTTCATCAAATTTTATGAAACAAAAAAAATTTAGAGTAAGAAAAAAAAATTAAAATTTTTTGATGAAAATTAATGAAATAATTGAAATAGTTCATGCCAAATCAAATTTTTTATTCAAATTTAAAATCAAATTAGTTTTAAAAAAATGAAACAGAAGGTTGAATATACTCTTACCCTTAAAAATTTGATGGGCTTGTTTTTGGGTATGGCCAAGGTATGTGTGTAAAAAAAATAATGATAAATAAAAAAATGTAAGTGTAAGATTTTAACTCGCATAATATTCATTAAATTTTCATTAATAATTTATTAGTTATATAAATGAAAAGTGATGTTATCATCTCTGTTATATTAAAAATATATATTCTACCTTATTTATCTTGGTGATTTTGCACCATCTGTATTAGTCTTGATCCATTTAATTTAACATTATTAAAAATAATATCAGTATAATTATGTCAAAATTATAAATAAAATAAAAAAAACTAATTATCATCAATTCTATTTATGGATAGAAAGGTGTGGAAGAAACAAGATGTCCGAAGCTCACCTAATGGGTAAAAAACAACGCTCAAAGAGTAACATATAACATTATTTTTAATGCGAATTCTCTATCTAGTAGCCAACATTTCTGTCATTCAAAATGATTAAGAATGTAACAAGGGAAATGGTTTGAGTTGTAACTTGTAAGATTGCATTTCGAAGTTAAAAACTTTAGCAATGCCTAATCTTCTGCAATTGAAATCCAAATTAAAAGCAGCTACATACAAAAGTGCAAATCTCTAAAGGTTGCTACATGATCCGAGAAAAGAAACAAGAAAGAGTCATGACAAGCAACTCTTATTTAACTCGTGCTTTAAGAAAACCAAACAACTTAACAAAGCTTTAGGATTCAATACTATACAACAAGAAGGGTAAAACTTTGGAAGTGATCCTGCATAGCTGCTCTGCGCACACACTCAAATGCAGCACCTAGGTTAGACACTCCTTCAAGTGGATACCATTGCTTTATTGTGCTACCTAATGGAACAGACCTAGTTTTGAAATGAAAACATCATTAACTCAAATATAGCATATACATACAAACCATAAAAGATAATTCAACAAAGTAAAGCTTCAAAGATAA